TGTCGTGGTTGCAACGCCCCCTCGACTCGCGCGGTCATCATTACGGAGTCAAGTGGCAGTAAGTAGTGGGAATGGCCGCCAACTGTAATGATTTAATGATAGTCATCAGTCCTAAACCGTACGCAAGGGTCACTGCAAAACCCAAATGTTGAGGCTTACCAAGTCAAGGTCTGGTGATGCGGTGCCAAGATCCTGCAAGCAATCGGGTAATCTCAACACCAAGGCCTCAAGCTTGTGAGAAATCCAGGCAGGGAAAGGGATAACCCAACAAGGAAGGCTCCAATTTCTGGATCAGATTTCAAGCTTTGGATCCTGACCATGACTTGTTTCAAAGGTTTTCAGATGGCTGGCCCCCCAAAGGCCACCGAACTTATCCTAACCACTACGCAAGTGCCGTTCATGGCCTGCGCGTCTCAGGTCATCTCGATTGACGAACTGATGTACGAAGCCTTCACTCCAAAAGCAACGAGGCTCCTGCTGCATAACCTCTGGGTTTGATCAATCTCCTCCTGATCGCAGGCCACCTTTCCAGTCTACATAAGAACATGCGAACGACAAGTAGACAGGTCGCACATTGAAAAGACCATCCTGATCTTCGCTGGGAAGGACAGCTTCGTACACTGAATGGACGCCTTTCCAGTTGACCCTATTCTTCTGCCTGCAACTCCAGTTGCCAGCAGGTCCCACCTTTCTACATCTCCACCAGGACAAGTCGCCAGAACAGCAGGAAAGCGAACGTTTCTACAATACCCTCTTCTACTGGCTCGGGCTGCTGGTGGTTGGTGCGCTTGGGCAGCAGGATTTGACTTGTAGCAAAGATCAATACTGTAGACTGGTACTACGGGAGTAGGACGGGAAGTGAATGTAGCGACGTGACGAGATGTTACGAAGAGGTAAGAATGGTAGTGAGAAGGGTCATGCTAGTGACAGGGGCGGCTGTATCTTTGCCATGTCCTTGCTCTTCAATGTGTGGTTCCCATGGACAGGAGCAGCAGGTAAAAATAGACTGCAATATTTCTGGATGGCTCATCCGGGGGAAGTGCAAACAACCATAATACCTTGTGGCGGTGCTGCGAATTGAAATACCAGAAGCTGAGGCTTTCTCTTACTTCTACCCCACCGACCTCCAGCAAGTTCTACCAAATTATCACCACGCCCCGTGGCTGACATGGTTGGCAAGACTCAACCCCATTTTGCTGGCCCCTGACACGTTGGGAAAAGTGGGCAGGATGTCCCAGACTTATGGGGCCATGCCTTATCTTGGGGCTCATGTTGGCATGTAGCAAGTAAAGTTGTTTTCTACTTCTAAGGGCTCTGCTGCTACTGCATTCCGTTCATAGAGTTTCGCAACCTGCTCAGGACCTGCACCTCCATTGTGATTCTTGGTTTGACAAATACTATGAGCCGCCGTGCGCGCATCCCGCAAGAATTCAGCTAGGCTGGTGTTTGAGGGCGGTTCTAGGCACTGCCCATGGCCTACCAGGCAGCACTTACGCTTTGCGGTATGTAGAGTTGTGCGAGACTGCAAGAGTTCCTGCAACCACAGAAGAGCATTATGTTTCCTCCATTCTTGTTTCAGCAGCCCCCCAAGACTCTTTGAGATGGAGGAGTATGGGATGCGAGCAGTTTCAAGTTCTTTGCGTGGGGGGAAGAAGAGCATTGTCGGGTTGCTCTTCAGGAACCTAACTAGATAAATAAATTGCTATGTATTGCTAAAAACCTTGGTTCCTATATACTTCTTGTAATTCGATAGTGGTTTCCGTTTTAGTTTCCATTA